GGGGGAGCCGGAGAGCGGCTCCCCGGGCAGGAGGACTCAGGCGGAGAGCGGCGCGGAGCCGTCGGGCGGCGGCGGGCAGCTGGACGGCAAAGCAGCCGGCGGCCCGCGGCGGCGGCGAGGGGGAGCCGGCGGCTTCGCTCCTCCCGCGGCACTGGCGGCCAGCGGGACTCCGGCGGCCCCCGGCGGGGCCGGCAGCGCTAACTCCTTGCTCCTGCGGCGGGGGAGGTTGAAGAGGAACCTCTCCGCCGCCTCCCCCTCTGCCGGCGGCGCCCCGGCCCCCTCGCTGGGCACCCGCAGCTTGGACAGGAAGGCGCTGCTGCTGCTGAAGCCGCCTCGGCAGCTGCAGCCCCTGCAGCCCCCGGAGCGGGACTGGGTGCGGCGGGACCTGCAGCGGGGCTGCGTCCACGTCTACGAGCGGCACATGAACTGCTACCTGCGCCCGGTGCTCTGCACCCTGGAGACCACGGCGGCCGAGGTGGCCGCCCGCCTGCAGCAGCTCGGCCACCGGGGCGCCCGGGGCGGCGGGGGGGCCCCCCCGCCTGCAGCAGCTCGGCCACCGGGGCGGCAGCAGCGTGGTGCGAGTGCTGGGCAAGGCGGGCGCCGCCGAGGCGCCGCCCGAGCCCGCGGCCGGGGGGCTGCGGCCGCAGTCGGACGAGAAGCCCAGGAGCCGGCGGGGGATGCGGAGCGGGCTGTCCGGAGGAGGCTGCGGGGAAGCGGCGCGGCCCGACCGCCTGCCGCTGTGCAGCGGCGCCGAGGAGAGCGACTTGGCCGGCGGCCGGCCGAGCCCGGCGCCCTCCGACTTCAGCCCCGGGGCGCCGCCGGCCGAACTGTACCTTGCCGGGCCGCCGCTTTCTTGCCCTTCCCTGCTGGGGGAGCTGGGGCCGACCGGCTCCGACACCGAGAGCTTCAGCCCCAGCGCCGAGAGCGTCTCCGACCGGCTGGACCCCTACAGCAGCGGCGGCGGCGGAGGCTCGTCCTCTTCGGACGAGCTGGAGGTGGAGCCGGCGCCCCCCGACGGAGTGGAAGAAGCAGGTGCCGAGCCGGGCCGGGGCCCTCCCTGCCCGGGGGAGCTGCCCCCGGGGCGGGCAGTAGGGGTGCCGGCGGGCGCGGCCGGCGGGCGGGAGCAGCCAGCGGGGCCGCCCGCCCTGTATGTACAGCTGCACGGGGAGACCAGCCGGCGGCTGGAGGCCCACGAGAAGCCGCTGCAGATCCAGAACGACTACCTCTCCCAGCTGGGCTTCCGGGACCTGTGGCGGGTGCAGGAGGAGGGCATGGACTCGGAGACCGGCTGCCTCATCCGCTTCTACGCCGGTGAGCGGGGCTGGGGGGCGACCGTGGGGAAGGGGCGGGAGCCGCGCCCACCGCCCCGGCTGTTGGCGCGGCGGGCGCCTGGATGAGCGGAGGGCGTGCGGGCGGCTGGGCTGCTTCTCCGCCGGGCCGTCCCCTGTCACGGGGAAGGTGGCCCGGGGCCGTCCCCTGTCACGGGGAAGGTGGCCCGGGGCCGTCCCCTGTCACGGGGAAGGCGGCCCGCGGGTGTCTCCGCGCCGCGCCGCGCCTGGGAGGGGCCGTGCCGGGAGGTCCCCGGCGGCGGCGGGAGGCGCTGCCCCGAGCCGGCTGCCGGGAGAAGCCGCGGTGTCAGCGGCGCTCAGGCTGCTCCGGCGTTGTGCCCGGGGCAGCCTCCCCTTCTCTCAGCGCTTCGGTAATGGAGGTCGCGCTTGTGTTGTTTTCCCGTTCCCAGCAGCGGCGTTCGAGGTTCAATCAGCCTTAATCTACTACTGCTTTCCCCAGTGACGAGGGATTGCATCGGTGCCGCTGCCGGGCACGGGAGGTCGAAGGTTCCTTCCAAACGGTTGCGGGATGCCGGCAGCTGGCTCACGGTTTAGTGGAGCTGTGTGCTCGCTCCGGGGAACACCGAGCCCTCCCCGTCGCGGAGCCGAGGGCACGGCCGGCTCGCTCCCAAGGGGGAAGCCCCGCAGTTCTCGCTCCTGAAATAGGTTACCACAGGACAGGGCACGCGGATGCCTGAGCTGAGAGCGGTGCATTCCTGCAAACAAAACCCCGCGCTTGGCTTTCTGCGTTGTTGGCATCAGTTTTTCCCGTTAGAGTGGTGGGACTTCACTGAGAGACTGAGGGCAGCAAGCGAGAGAAGCAGGGAAGCACAGGTCGTGGTGTTTGGAAGCGGAGCGGTCAAAACCTTTATAATGAAAAGGGAGAAGCTTTGTAATTCAGCTTTGCTGTTACAGCGTACAGTACAGAATTTGGAGACTGTTGGGTGGAAAAGTTAGCTCCCACGTTGTAATTATGCAACCTTCTGCAGTTTTAGGGAGGTTTAAAAATACCTTGTGTGTCAGTTGAGTTGGTTTGTGTTAAAGACTTACTGTAATCTCGGAACTTGTTGGGTTTTAACTGTCCTGTACGTCTCTTCAAAAGGAAGACATTGTTTGATGTCCAAGTATGCATTCAGATACCTTTTAAGTTTTCCTGTGAAGCAGGTAAATGTGATACCCCAAGATGAGGTCATGCTAGCAAAGTAGCACATGCCATCCATCCCCTTGCTGGGTTGGCAGAGCAGAATGGTCCTTCAATGAACCGTGAGAATTCAGTGCTTTAACTTTGAAAAATAGAGAGATTCTTTTCTCGAGTGAATTCCTCTGAATGTCAAAGGGAGTCGGTAATGGTGGGGTGGGAAGGAGAACAGTACGCTGGATAAGTGCCCTTTTTTATTCAGAAGAGAATGTGGGAGTGGTGGAAAGTGGTCAATTCAGCTTTTCTTCAGATTTTTCTGATTGTACAATGACCGTGGCATAACGAGTGTAAAAGTAGTATTTGTTAAAGGAATTGACAGAAATAGGTTAGATGCACTGGGGTTAGAAAGTAGCTTAAAATACTTTTTTTTTCCAGATCATGATTGTGGTCTTTTTTGTTTCTTTGCCTGCTCTTGAGGATGGAAGTCAGCAGGTGATGCAGGGAGGGATTTTGCTTCCTTTATTTCCAGTCCCACCCCACCATTAAAAGGGGATGCACACACGTGTTTTAAATTGGGACAGCTGTGTGCCTTCTTTTCTAACAGGATGTGTTCTAAAGAAAACACAATCAGGAAACACAGCGAAGTCTTACACACAGTTAAGCCTGTTTGCATGTAGTTTTAATGCATTAAATGATTAATTATACATGCTAAATGAGGATGTTCCAGCTTTGTTTTATTTCAGTGTCTCAACTTGACTGCTAATGTAGCTCGTACATTTTAGACTTCCTTGTACAAAACTACTGGATAGAAGGATATTTCTGTGAGCATACATAGGATTAAACTAATGCAAATTTCTTACGCAAGTTCGTATGCTAACAAGTATGCCTCTGTACTTCAAAAGTGCAGCGTTTTTTTGAAATCCTTATCTCTTTGAGGGCATCAGTGATCAACATCTAAAACACCTGTGATCAGGTGCTTGTAACAGAAAGGTTGCAGCATCTAAGGTACCAGACCAGCCAAAAAACAGCTAAGAAAATATTACTGACACGTAATTATACTGATTTTATGTAACTGTCTTGGCAAGTTATCTCTGCTTCCTTATTTTATACAAACACAGCCTGAAGATGAAAGGGAGGGAAGGAGAGACACTTAAAAAGAATACACACCAAATTACACTGGAAAAGGGAGCAATTTTTTGGCCCCAAAGTTAAGTGTTTTGCTAAGGAGAAATACCTTTTTAATAAATGATCCACCAGGATCATACCCTAAGGAAAGCTTTAAAACAGTGATTTCCTGTTTGCCTAGGACTTCGTTGATTTAAGTGGCCTGGCTTGTCCCAGTGGATAGAGAACCACTAGCATCTCTATCCCTGTAATTTCCTGCACGCTATCTCAGTAGGATTTGGTGATACTTGTCTTTTACTGATGTAAAATTATATAAACCTAGGTTGGATTTATTGCATTGCTTCTAAAAGGAATTCTTTCACCTAATCCTCCTGAAGTTGGGAGAGAAGAAGAGAGCAAAGTGATGACTTTGGGGTTTTTTTTTAAATTTCTGAGGAGAGACAGTTTTAAGACTGGAAGATGACTGTACTGGAACTTACCATTACAAATTCTACATAAGACAATATAGCAAATAGTTGTAGTGATTGCTGTAGGCTGGTAATTTCTCCTGTTGTGGAATATGGAAAACACATATTAAAAAATTATTGGTAGGAGAACTGCAGAGAATCAGATTTTTCTGCTATGGCAAAACAGTTTTCTTAATAAATAGCAGTCCACAAATATTCTGTAAATGAAATATCTGGTCTTTTAAAAACCCTCAAAACCAAAATGGGACACTAAAAAGGTAAAAATGCTTCCTGTACATTGCCTTGGTTTGTTTCAGAATGTGGTTAGTGCATGTTTATTCTGGTGTCTCCTCTCATTTTCTTCCTTAAGAGTGTGAATGTGGTTGAATTTTTGTCAGTGTCTTGACTCTTAAGCATTAAATGGACAACACCACTCCTAAAACAAAATCCCTTACAGCTTTAAGGAGCTGATCCTACTTCCTGTAACATCAATTTGAGCAAAACTGGACGTTAGTGATTGGTCAGACATGTCAATTTTTCTCTCTGTTGAAATCTTTCTTAACAAAAGATAATGCCCTCAAAGTTTGAAATACTTAATCTCTATTTAAAAGGACATGTTAAATAGCTTTCTGCTGAGATACTGTGTGAAGGAGTTATGGAACTGTGTAAGAATCCGTAGTGCAATTACAGTCATGATATTGTTGCTGGGAGACTGATTAGGTCATAATTCCTAAACTATTCCTAAAACCTCAAGAGTGGCTGTGATCCAGAAGACTTCTTGCAAACAAGTTGTAATATTCCCTGTTGCTTTGTAAAAATAATTGTTGTCACAGTGGCCTTGACATCCCGATAATTTGCATGTAGAAGGAAAAACAGACTAATACAACAATCTCATTAAAAGCTGCAAAACTGCTTATTTGTTTTAGATCAAAAATAAGCATGGAATTTTATGCAGTGCTGTGTTCTGGAGCTTCTGCATGGCAAGAAGCGTGAGTAATATGATCCTGGTCTTGGAGACTGGTTCAGTACAATGGATGTTTGAGGCTTTTTTGTTTTAGTGCTGAAAGGTAATGTTGTTTCTGATTCTGGCACTTGGCCACCATTAAATTCTCTGCCCCCTGATGTGACATAGGGCTTCTGCACCTGCCCGTGTCATCAACTATATCACTTTTTCAGTAGGTGACTGCCTATAGCCAGAATATTAAGAAATGCCAGTTGTAATTAAGTGTGTTAATTTTGCATCTGGCTGTCAGATGCTATTTGGGAAGAAATCGTTTTGGCTCATGTGGCCTTTTAGAAAACTGTGAAGAAAAATGAATCTCGCTTGGTCTTGAAATGTGTTATAAGGGATGTTGTTCTGTCCAGTAAAGAAAAGGGGGGAAGGTCTTGTGTCAGGATCGGCTGCTGTGCTCTGAGCAATTGCATTTGCTTGCCTTCCTTAAAAATGTACACCTTGTAGTTGGGGTCATACTAAGACTTCCCAGCTAGATGGATGGAAACATGGTTTTAGACGCTTAGTTTAGAAGGTGCCAGACGCCTGGCAGTGCAGAGCTTTGTGGAATGTGTTGAGTTGCTGGCTGCTGTTTGTGCTACTTGGTGAATAACTCAGTGCAGCTATTTAATACGTTGATAAACTCGATTTAAGGTGACTAAGTGCCGTTATGGGGGGGAAGCATGCCAGAGACTCTTTTTGTTATTGAGTGTGGGAGAGCAGCTGTGCCCTAAAGAGCTGCTTTTGGAGCACTTGACATAGATCTGACATCTCGTATCTTTAACATGAAAGGAATTAATTCACATTAATGTGAATGGATGTCTTTTTGCAGGTGTGATTGGACAGGAGAGGTCTCTGTGAACTTGTCTGAAACCGAAAGGAAAAACAACCTCTGCCTAGGGCTGCTGTGATCCTAATTTTTTTTTTTTTTCTTCTTAACTTGACTCGGATGAACATTCTTTACCTTGTAATCATTTATGTGTTGGCATGTCCTGCAGAGAGAAGTAAATTTTCCTCTTTGGGAAACTCTCACTTTTCAACTACATAGCAGTTTAAATCTGGGCTTGGTCCATGTCGGTCCCAAGGTAATGACATTTCTAGTCCTGTTCTGCTGGAGAGTTTAACATGGTTGCATTGCCTTTGGCTGGCTCCACCTGTTCATGTGCATAGCCGTTTGCTTATCTTCTGTTGGAATGGGGTCTTTCTGAGGTAGGCAGCTTTCAGGGGAGCTCTCCTACAAAGGAGGAGCCATGCAGATAATGCTGGAATGCTGGTGCAGCCGC